ACTTTTGGCTCAGAGTTTTCCAGCAGGTCCAAATTTGTAAACCATCAGAATTTGGATGAAGTCTAAACATAATGTTAGAAGCTCTTCAAAAAAATTCAGTCTTCGAATATTTCCAAATAAAATCTTAATTTCCGACTTGATATCTTCAAAAAAACAATTTAAAAATGGCTTATGCTTCATTTGTATGAGTGGTTTACCAGTTACTGATTCAGCCTGTAAAAATTCAAAAATTCAGGTAAATATTGTAATAGAGCCGCTCGAGTGAATATATGCTGTACCATGAAATCTGCTGAGTACAATCCTTCTCCCCAAATTCCATTTTCAGTCAAGAAGCTCTCTTGTTTTTTTCTATCAAGCATTCTCGGTCGAAGAGTTTGTTTGAATGAATATCCTTCGGCATTCATTGCCTGAACCGCAATTCCTGAAATTTTTAGAAAAGGAAGAAAGTGCAAGAGAAATGCTTCGTCGCCCAGTTTCCGCAAGCCCTGAAGCGCTTTTTATCCCCCACTTTCAAAGGTGTGTCTATTTCGCTTCAGGGCATGTACCAGCCCAAAATGGGGCCATATAGTAAGTGGAAGCTGCACAAAGAGCATCCAGCACTGCTAAAAATTTGGCGGCTGAAGTTGAATGCATATTGTTGAAGCTTGAACTGAATCCAATAAAAGCCTGCTCAACCAATATTATTTATACGAATGAATGTTTGATGTATGACGAATCGTCCAGGCTTCTGCAAAAACCATTCGTAATTTTGTTTTCCCTTTCTTGACATAAAAAAAATGGCGAAAAGTGATTTCCGTTTAAACAAGCCGAAAGAAAGCCATTTATGCTACACGACAAAGAACTGCATAATTGCGACGTAATTATTGTACGAATTATGTAAATTCCTTTCGATTTCTTAATTCAAGGATGCAAATATATATGAAAGTTAAGATGCGTTTCTCAAGTGAATTCTACGGAATTTTAAGTAAATATATGCATATTTTAGCACAATTTCTGCCGTATTTCCTTCAACCTTCATACAATCAAAAGGTTCGAATTCAAATAAAGAAATACCGAAGGTCTTACTTCGACAAATTTATTTTCCCACAGTTGACTTCGTCTTATGAAAAATTCCTAATAAAATCAGCGTTCAATTTGTTTCTTTGGAATGAAATTTGAACTGCATTTTGCTCTTCAGAAAGAGCTCAAATCCTTTTTTAAAGATATTCAAAAAAACCCAAAACGGAATCTTTCTGATTTGAACTGTTTGAACTTTAAAGTAATCTGGTAGGCAAGAGTGTTCAACCATAAACTTTCAGTTCTGCTGCGTATAATGCATCTGCATCAAGACAATATCGAAGAGGGTAATGTTCAAGAAGACAGTTTGAAATACTTTGTTTTTTTTTCAAGTGTTTTGAATTATTGCTTGTGACGCTCAAGTTATTCATTCGCGGGAAAAATTGGGTCAAAGAAAAAAAAAACGGAGCTTTATATAGAGAACGTGAAACGAAACCGCAAGTCGATTTTTGAGAGACGATGAGAACAACATGACAAGCGTCTGGCGGATTCCATTATTAGGACAGAACTTACGTTTCGCCCCTCGTGTGACTGTTCGAGTGCAACCCACTGCAGCTGCGAGTGAGAAACTGAATGCGGTTTACAATCCCGTGGCAACAGAGATTGATCGCTCCATCCCCAAAATCGATAAATATCTTCCACGAGAGTTTTTAATCAAATAAATGGTATCGATCAGCATTCCCACAATTTGGCAGTTGACGTGTTATTGCAGGCACAGAAAGTTTCGGGTCAAGAGGAATCATCAGTGGAAATAACTTGAAGTTGGAAAAATCATGGCGGAGCTGCATCAATAGATTTGGTACTGCTGGTCGAAAGAAATTTATTAGAAAATTTCCGATATATTCCTTGAAACTGTTGGATGTTTTTTCTCTACAAATAATCGCAGAAGTGTTCCCTTCATCTTGTCAAACATTAAAGGCAGTCTTCGAAGATCGAACCACATCTGTGAAAATAATTTTCAGTAATTATTTTTCTAATTTTTGCTGTTGGTGGAATCAACCAAACAACATCCGCGTTATAGAAACGAAACTATATTGTAGCACATAGGAGAAAAGACCCTCGATCTGACAAGAAATAAAACCGAGAAGAAAAACAACGTCTGAGTGGAAACAACGTGTTTTCTCCCTAATGCAAAATTCTGCACAACATCCGACAAAATGCAAAACAGCATAATTTTCGGGCGTATATAAAGGTAAACTTGCGACATTTCAGATTAGAATTGAAGCTGAGCATATATGATTAACTCAAATAGTTAATATATATGAAAGTGAAAAACATGCATTGGTGTTTCTACTCTCTATAGTAACAATGTATGTCCCAATGGGAAGGTTGGTTTCAAAAGAGCTTGAGGATGATATGAAAAAAATACAGGGGAATTTACATTTTGTTCCACTGCGCCTGGAAACAAATTAACTGCGTGCTGGTTCATTAAATCTGTGCATTTCATTTATCATAATTTCCTCCGATATATTCAAAGAAAGCCTTTCGATGTTCTCGATCGTCTCATAAATTATTTCTCCGGTACATGACGTTTTTTTTTTATTTTGTGCCTCAGAAATCGATCAGCATGTTCGTCAAGACTTACAATTACAATAAGTTTTCACAATTTTTGGATCTTGAAATCACTGTACATTCAAGCCCATTCCCAAAGAATAATCTGGGAAAACATTTCAAGACTTCGGAATAATTACTAGTCTCTTACTTTAAGACTCCATGATTTTTAAAATTTTTTCCGAAGAACAAAAATCACCAAAAAATCTCAGAAACAAGACAATAAAGCAGATTCAACACAAACAAGACCGTAACACTACAAGAGTGTTTGGAATGTGAACTCTTATTGACGTTATTTTCAACAGAAAAGACGAATTACTAGGGATATTTTTTCACACTGTCTATTCAGATTGAATAAATACCAGAACCACAATATCGAAAGCAAAAGTTGGGTGTAAAATGAGTCGGTCGTTCTAAAAGAGATAAAGAATCAGGGATTTTGATTACCATCTATTTTTTGTTAGCATATGAAAGACTTGAAGGTATGGTACTTGGTCGGGTATAGTACGTGTAAAATGTTACGACGCATGAAAAAAAGGATGTTTTAAATAGGGCACAATCCAAAAATACTTATGCAGGAACAAGCTTTCTTTCAGCATTTTTACTTGATGGCACCATTCAGTTTATTGCTCAAGTACCCTTTCTTTTGGGGGTTACAGGTATTATATGCATGCTAGGGTTTATGACTCAATGAATTTTCAGTGCACTGATGTGTTTGTCTGTTTATCCCCAGCTTGGGCAAGCTTTGAGAATCAGCATCATGTTGTCTGTAGACCGAGGTATAAATAAATATACAAGTTCAATAAAAAATATATACTTCAAATATATTCAATTCACAAATATTTGTACAATCACACAAACATAAAATAGAGAGCTTTAAGAGAGTCTTGCTAGAACATTCTGCAAGTCTCTCTGAGAAATAACTGCAAATGATTCTAGATTAATTCTGAGGAAATATGTGGGAAGGAAGGTGTATTTATACCTTCCTGGAAACATAGAATATAGAGGCAAAATATTCGCCAAGATTGAGGAACTGCGGGTCCCCTGAACACTCTTGATGAATACAAATATCCGGGTATCTCCGGGTATATATTATAAATATAAATAACATATATACACTCGCGAGTTTGGCGGAATAGGCTTCTTCTAAATTAGCAGTTTAGAAGAAGGCAGTGCAAGTTGTTTGTCACTGTTGACAAATAGCAAGTTGAAAAGGAGAAACAGGCAATAACAACCATCACGCATTAATGCGGGCCAATGTGAGAGAGGGGGAACCAAAACAAAAGGGGAACAGCTGCATGGAAACAAATACCTTGTAGAGAAGGATCTCTCTCCATATAGGAAGAAAAGAACATAATCGCAATTCGGTTTCTGGGTTACAATCAATGCTGCAATTTATAAAATTTACAAGTAGCATTCATCATCAACAATCCCCCCACAATAATAGTGAACATGGATCTCACACATTTGGATTCATCTCAAGCTTTTTCTTCTTCAAGTGTCTGTTAGATGTCAGTCCTGCAGAATCGAGGGAATATGCATATTTCCGGCTTGAGTTATAATGGGTTAGGTTTTTCTTAATCTTGTTTGTATTCTGAACATATGCAATTTGGTATCCGAACAAGGAAGTGCTTGCGCCTGTTGCTTTTTCACTTTTATTCCAGATGAGTGACTCTAGAAGATACGATTGGATCATCAAAAATAAGCCATCATTCTGGCATGCTTCGATTGTAGATACGAAAAATATGTTGGCCTTTTCATTGCTCAAAAATAAAAGCTTAAAAAGGATTACAGTAAAAATAAATGTCTGAGGCTTAACAAACGTTAGATCCCGAAATGGGATCAATTTCAAGGTTGCCCCGCTAATTAAGTTGACCTAAGTTCTCCGTGAAATTTCCTATGTTAAGAATTTTAATCCTCACAGTTTCTAACCTACAGAATTTCAATGTTATATGACAGCGTTAAAACTTAAAAGTCGTTAAGAAATTGTTTTGCCATATCCTTTTTATCACTAAAATTGTCTTTGCAAAATAATTGGCATGTTCGATACATGGAAAGTATCTATATACGAAAACGACGAAAAATGGTACTGAACAAAAAAAATCAATGAAATCAATTTCAGATTAACTATAGCTTTTGAGCTTTGATGAACACAAAATCTTTATGATCAGTCCCAGTTTTTGTGGTCTACTCTACATTTACGCATATTCGAGCGAATATATAGAATTGCTGCCAAAAATCTGAGCTGCCGCCGTCTTTCGCAGTTTTCTCAGAAAAAAATAAATGAAGTGTAGACGTCTCGAAAACCTGAAGTCACTCATGACACATGCCAACCTTTTCTAGCCCAGAGAAAGACAGCTCAACAGATTCACTGTAGTTCTCACGGTTCCCGCAGTAAGTGTAAGTGGCTGCTATATACAGCCGAAGCTTGTGAGAGTCGCGTTTTTTTTTCAGTCAACATTCGTGTTCTTCGAATCAAATAAAAAAACACAAAAAGATTGTGACAAGATATCACACGTTGTAAGCTGTTTAAAGACGTCGATATCATCCCGCGAAGACTATGGATCTTGTGCCAAAGTGGAAGGACTGGAGTGCCGAAAAGCCGATCACCGCCATTGTTCTTGGTGCTGGTGCGTGTGTTCACAACTGCTATAGAAACCGTGTTCACCACAGTAGAAAAAAGCTGAGCTATTTGTCCATTGATCGTATCGCGAAATATTCGTATTTTTGAGGGTGAATGCGAATTTCAACGATTTAGGTCAACGTGGGAAAGTTCACTCCACGTACGCGTTGGAATTTCCGGACAAGTTCAAAGTGGTGGCTGTTGCTGAGCCTCGCAAAGCTTCACGGATTCACTTTCAAGCCCTTCATAACATCCCAGATCATCGGTGAGATGAAAAAGAAACACATATTGATACATTCACTATGCATGTATGATGTATCAATGCATATGTTATGCTGAATCTCGATTGTCGGTGCCATACTGCCATATTTAACCGGAAACTGACTCGAACAACTGAATAATGAAGGTTTACCTTGGGACTCCCAGAAATTCCCTATTATGTAATATGAAGCAGAGAACAATTAAATACAGACAATTCAAGGCTGGTACTATTTGAGGACGAAGCGATTTGAGCAAAGGATTATATTTGATACAGCTGACACACGTCGAGAGTCGAGACAGAGACTATTCCTGGCAGAGACTATTCGAGACATTTCGAAACATTTCAAATTTTCTGCCTCGAGTTTTCCATATCCATGTACTGTGGACAGTAGTACATACAGTATATAGTACAGTGTTTAGCTGGAGACCCTGGCCTTGGCCGAATTTATTCCAGATTTTCATGTCTGATATTTTGTTTATTCATGCCACACAGGATAAGAGGAGATCAAAGTATTTCGAATGGTTTTTTGTTTATTTTTTTTGTTAGCGTGGCTGAAATTTATTTACTTTTTTTTTAAATAATTTTTATTGCTGTCTTCAATAAGTATTTATCCATTACCTCGAAAAAAGGCGTATCATCCATCACAAGGCTAATACTGCAGATGATCATTCTTGTTCAGTTCATTTACAAAATAGTTCTCGTTCCTATTTGTCCATGATAAAATGCGATATTCTTCCGAAGCTTTAATCTTGGCGCCACCTGAGCGAGGGCCTACTTTTAATTAAAAACAAGTTTCAAAATTAACCTGCAACCCAGTTCATGACTCAAAGATATGACTAATTCTTCGTAAATTATGCAGTTGACGAAACTTTCAGGCCTCTATATATATTGAGAATCTCTTCAGGTAAATCAGTGTTTCGTTTCCTAATGTTTTTACATGTATAAAAAATTTGCAAGAACTGTAATTTACCAGAAAACTTGAGCAATCATCAGCATTGATAAGTTGGTTTCCTTATTAAGGAATGCTTTTGCAAAGCAAAGCGGTGTTTCATCAGTGGTGTCTCGTGTTCAATCGAATGTGCTGCAGTCTCGAATCGGCATTTCTTGCCAACGCGGAAAAATTTCTGATTTTTTTGATTACATTTCTGAATTACGAACTTCGGTGGGATAATTTAAATTTCGGTTTTTTTCCTCCGAAAGCGCCTACAAGTCGTGGAGAGAATGTCTGCAAGACGCGACACAGGATAAATTCGCAGACGTGGTCATCATCGCGACTCCGGATCAGGAGCACGCGCAGCCCGCGATTGCATTCGCTTCTTTAAAATTTCACATCCTGCTGGAAAAACCCATGGCAACCACAGTGGAAGACTGCTGGGCGATACACGATGCTGTCAAGAAAAACGATGTTATTCTCGCTGTTTGTCACGTTCTACGGTACGGTCGGTACATGCTTTACAGTCCGACTGTTTGTGGGTTATCCGCGGGAGATTATTCGCGCTTGAATTCCTCCGAGTTTTGACGAGACTAACAGCGACACCTACCTAAACTGCGTGACTTGAAGATTCGTATTTCAGACATGCTCCGGCAGCTGTCACTTTAAGGCGGTTCGCGGATGCTGGGAAACTCGGTGAAATCTCGAATATTCAGCTGCTAGAGCCTGTTGGGCATTGGCATTTCGCTCATTCATTCGTCAGAGGTAAGATGATGAACGTAACAAAAAACTTGTTTATTCACTGAATATGAACGGCACATGAAAAAAACATGTCATGTCTTCTCGAAGGAAACTGGAGAAATGAAGCGAGTAGCACATTTGCGCTGCTCGCGAAATGCTGTCACGACGTGGATCTGATCGCATTTTGGAAACATGCGAACAAATGTACGAAAGTTTCTTCCTTCGGAAACCTTCAGCACTTCAAGTAAATTCAACACGCAAAATTGAAGTCAAAACCCGGAACTGCTTCCGCATTATTCATAAATGCATTTTTTTTTCCGCACAGGAATAAGAATAAGCCAGCGGGAGCTTCTGCAACATGTCTAACGTGTTCGGTGGAAAACACTTGTCCTTATTCGGCAAAAAAGCTGTACTTGGACTCCGTAGAAAAAGACCCGAGTCTTGCCGAACATTGGCCGGTCCTCTATATATATTGAGAATCTCTTCAGGTAAATCAGTGTTTCGTTTCCTAATGTTTTTACATGTATAAAAAATTTGCAAGAACTGTAATTTACCAGAAAACTTGAGCAATCATCAGCATTGATAAGCTGGTTTCCTTATTAAGGAATGTTTTTGCAAAGCAAAGCGGTGTTTCATCAGTGGTGTCTCGTGTTCAATCGAATGTGCTGCAGTCTCGAATCGGCATTTCTTTGCAACGCGGAAAAATTTCTGATTTTTCTGATTACATTTCTGAATTACGAACTTCGGTGGGATAATTTAAATTTCGGTTTTTTTCCTCCGAAAGCGCCTACAAGTCGTGGAGAGAATGTCTGCAAGACGCAACACGGGATAAATTCGCAGACGTGGTCATCATCGCGACTCCGGATCAGGAGCACGCGCAGCCCGCGATTGCATTCGCTTCTTTAAAATTTCACATTCTGCTGGAAAAACCCATGGCAACCACAGTGGAAGACTGCTGGGCGATTCACGATGCTGTCAAGAAAAACGACGTTATTCTCGCTGTTTGTCACGTTCTACGGTACGTTCGGTACATGCTTTACAGTCCGACTGTTTGTGGGTTATCCGCGGGAGATTAATCGCGCTTGAATTCCTCCGAGTTTTGACGAGACTAACAGCGACACCTACCTAAACTGCGTGACTTGAAGATTCGTATTTCAGACATGCTCCGGCAGCTGTCACTTTAAGGCGGTTCGCGGATGCTGGGAAACTCGGTGACATCTCGAATATTCAGCTGCTAGAACCTGTTGGGCATTGGCATTTCGCTCATTCATTCGTCAGAGGTAAGATGATGAACGTAACAAAAAACTTGTTTATTTACTGAATACGAACGGCACATGAAAAAAACATGCCATGTCTTCTCGAAGGAAACTGGAGAAATGAAGCGAGTAGCACATTTGCGCTGCTCGCGAAATGTTGTCACGACGTGGATCTGATCGCATTTTGGAAACATGCGAACAAATGTACGAAAGTTTCTTCCTTCGGAAACCTTCAGCACTTCAAGTAAATTCAACACGCAAAGTTGATGTCAAAACCCGGAACTGCTTCCGCATTATTCATAAATGCATTTTTTTTCCGCACAGGAATAAAAATAAGCCAGCGGGAGCTTCTGCAACATGTCTAACGTGTTCGGTGGAAAACACTTGTCCTTATTCGGCAAAAAAGCTGTACTTGGACTCCGTAGAAAAAGACCCGAGTCTTGCCGAACATTGGCCGGTGTCAGTCATTTGCAACTTGGAAGACTTTGACAAAAGCGTCGATTTGAAGCAGGGCATTTTGAAATGCTTGGAGGTATGTACCATACAAAAACATGGGATTCCAGGTTATCAAAATTATTATGCACCTGTGTTCCTTCGACCAATTTGCTTTTACGCCGTTGTGTGCCTCCACTGCATGATTTTAGGAACTCTCACGCAGATGTCACCAGAATCCTTCTCCTGATGCAGTTTTATTGGTTCGAATACTTCGAACACATCTGGCTGAAAAGATTAAACCTGGTTAAATTGTCAAAGTAGAAGGTTCATTCAAGCGTTATCTCAGTCTTTTGCGTCTCTTGCTGCATATATTTCTGGATATTCAAAGTTGAAAAAATCTCTGCCATGCTAATATTGTATATTCTTTTCTTTATGTAGCCGCAAGTAGTTTGATTGATTGATTGCTGTTACAAGCTTTATGTGCTGCTCCTCAGTATTTACAAAGGTCAGAAAATTTCCCCTCGTATTTGCTGTGTAAAACATAATTCACTATTAATAGAAAATACATCACAGTGCACAGCACAAAAGCATAAAACAATGAATTGGCATAATGCTTGCTAAAGAAGGACAAAACATGTTGACACAAGGCAATTACTGAGCACAAATCAGAGCACGATGACGTGTTCAGCCGTATCCCATGTATTTTTATTCGATTATACGATTTAGAAAGAAAATTTTGAGGAGAAATCAAACAAAACTCACTCTAGTTTATACAGTGAGGTAGAGTTAAATGTCATCTTCATTTCTTAAAAAAAAAAGTCTATTCACCGAACTTGTACGTTTCAGCATCATTTTCTGTCAGTCAAACTGCATGATAAGTGTTTCAATGTTGGAAAAATTGTGTCAAGATCGCGGAACTAAAAATAAACCTCCAATGGAAAACGTTCTGTTCATCATCTGGAAATTTTCTTTGAAAAATGAGGGTTGTTTTGAAATTTTTGAAAAATTTGGCCGAGTAAGCTGTAAAGTAAGAAGTTTTCTCAGCAAATGATTCACACATTCCTGATTGTGCAAGTATTTCAACTCATTTCAAAGAAGCTATCCCAGAAAACTGGGCGACGAAAAACGATGTTGAAAACATACCTTCAGGTCGAAGGCAGGTTTGAGATTTTCGCGAAATTTCCCTGAAGTTAGAAAATGTTTATGAAACTGGAGATGAAAAATACGATTGAATCCTCATTTTTTAAATTCCAAGGATGGACCATATGGACGATGCGTTTACGACTGTGACAACGACGTGTGTGACAATCAAGTAGTGAACTTTGAATTTGACGACGGGTCGACGGCATCACTGACGATGATCGCTTTCAGTGAAGCAGTTTGCGAACGTCGTACGACATTCTTTGGGACACACGGTGAAATGGGAGGAAAATTCGATCAAGATTCTCGTAAGTCTAATGAAAACAATAAAGCTTTTGATTCAGAAACACCCAAAAAATACCTTCGTTTTGTCTTGCAAACGCTGGTAAGAATTTTTTGAGAACATTAGGGTGCCACAATAATCCGCGGATGAAGGACCACAAACACACAAGTCGAATTGACAATAACCGAATAGTAATTTTATCTTATCGAACATTTAGCAGGTGGCTTAGTTTCAATGTTCATGCTCCTGAAAACTTTCCGAATTTCGGTTTGAAGGGAAAAAAATGGTACTGTTCAGGTAAATTTTGGCTGTGATTCTTATAAATGAAAAGCGGCCACGTTGTTTTGATAGGCTGAGTGTATATACGAGCGTTGTCCAACTTCGAGTTGACTTCGGGTATTTTTCAAGGTAAGTATTGTTGTAAATAAAAACAATTTTATACCGCCCATGATATTCTAAGGTTCTTCAAATTTTCTCAGCTTTCTAAAGAAATGCTTCAATTTTTTGCATGATGACGAGTGAAAACTTTCCAGTTTCCGTCGGAGTTCTCAACCCACGTCACAGAGGTGCTAAAAACTTGCTAATCCACTTTAAAAATTGAAACTTCCAAATTGTTGTGAACATTATTTTTTGTACATCTTGTAGAATTTTCACAGTTTTCCAACAGTTAATTTGTTTTTAAGCAATTTCAAAATGAAAAACTATGGCTCTATATTTCCAATGGCTAAGGTAGCTCAACTCGAAGTGGGACAACCCTCTGGCAGAGTCTTATGAGAGTCCCATATTGTAATTCAAAAATTGAACTTTTTGTTGTGCATGCGTGTATGCTCAAGTCCAAAATTTACAGTTGAATATTTGGATTTCGTGACGAACAAAACCGAGCTGATTCCTCTGGAGAAAGTTCCAGTGGGAACCAAAATGAAGGGACATGGAGGAACCGACTTCTTCCTTGTGGATTCCTTTGTTCGAGCTGTTTCCAAGCAAGATCCTTCCCTGGTTTCGACAGGTTTCCTATTTCAATTCAATTCGACACTCATGTGTATCAAATTTCTGACTTGACATTCTTTAAAAAAAAATAGGCTTGGAAGAGTCACTGAAAAGCCACTTGCTGACATTCGCTGCAGAACTGTCTCGGAAAGAAGGTCGAGTCGTCACAGCTGAAACAGACCCGAAGCTTTTCCTCTAACACAAATATATCACGAAAGACCACAAAATCAAGCATCATCGTTGTTCTGTGAAGATATTTTCACATAATGCTTGCGAAAAACTTTTTTTCGGAAATACGAAAATGTATGCCTGAACTTGACTGGCGTGAAATTCGTGGTATTTCTCCTCTCGCACGCTGTTGCTTGATTGTGTAAAACTATCGTCGGAAATAAAAGCTGCCTTATACTTGACCTTAGATGCCCTCTGTAGCAATAAATCCCTACTCTTCACAGATTAATTAATATTCTTATCCTTTTTACGACGTTATCTGCTGTAATCGATATAAAGTTTTACGGCGAAGTGTCAGAAATAATGTCGGAAAAGGGAGGAAGAAAGAAAAGTTCAAGGTGGGAAAACTGGAAAGCGAGCAGCCCGATAAAAGTCGTCATCATCGGTGCAGGTACAACAATAAACCAATAGAAATTATATGGTGACATGGAGTTTTTTTTCTGCGTTTGAAGCCAGTGATGTTTTAGGAGAAAAACTGTCGACGGAACTTTTTCAATGGCTTCTCTATATTTTTCAATACCGCTTAGGTCAGAGAGGAAGCGCTTATGCGACTTACGGAATGGATTTTCCCGAAAAGATGAAAGTTGTTGGAGTTGCTGAACCGCGGCGAACGATGAGATCTGATTTTCAAAAGGCTTTCAGTCTTCCTGATGACAAGTTTGTCTCACGAAATTACGTGCATAAACCGGAAAGTAAATCAACTTGCAAAAAGTTGAAAGAGTTTTCAAAAATTTCCGAAAATCCATCAGCAATTCCCTGTAAAGTTACATCTTCGATTGCGAAATCAGTCTGGACTCTGGATATGAAGTGGCATACATCCTTTGCCCCCTATTAGTTTCTTACACCTCTGATGGATTCGACCCTCCTTTTTGTGCTTGATGCGTTGATATAGATTTAAAAGAAAAATCAACGGTAGAAGTACAGTACTTAGCAATTTTAATATTATCTTCGAACCGAAATGTGCGCAAACTTCGAGGAAATATTCGTGATGCGTTTTAAGAGGTGCACTTCCTACTGCCTTGCGTCATCCCAGCAGCAGCTTCAAATGCAGTATTTAAGATTTCGTAAATAAAAATGTAGATGTCGCTCAATGCCTCAACAATTCCTCAGCACAGTGTACGGTTCAGGCCAGGGACAGTTCAGGCTTTGCTATTAAAAACCGGCCAATAAGGAACTTCAGGATTTAATGCGCAGTTCGGTTTTCATATAGATCAGGTGTCAGATTCGAACGAAACTTGCTTGACTTTCCTAGATTTCTCGCTGTCGTAAAATTTGGATATACAGCACTTCTTAAATTAGATTTGAAGATTTATTTTGATGAAAAGTATAATTATCAATAGAAATCACCCGATTCTGCGGGTCTTTAGATTCAATTATTATCACGAAAGCAGGTACGAAAAAAACTAAAAAATAATTAATATTTAAAAAAAATTATATTCATAAAAATGTAAAGAAAATCATTTATTCGGGAAAAGAAAGAAATGATTATTTTAAAATATTAGGCTATAAAAAGTATTTATTAGGTAGAAAAAATTCTTTTTTCTTCAGTGAGAGAGAACATCAGACGCATCGGATTCTTCGGAAATCGTGCGCAAGATGTTCGTCGGTCGTCGTGAATGAGCGCGCTGCAAATATTGTACTCGGATAAAGCAATAAAATATTGACATAATGGTCGAAGACAAATCATACCTAACATATTGACTGTCTTCGATTCCTGGAAAGGAGTCAATACTGTATTGTGACTCGTTCCTCATTTCTTCCGCTTCATTTGTCATTTTCATACGTTTTAATACCGTACACCATCATCAAATTTTCAATACTGTACAATACGAGTACGTGTGTCACTCAGAGCATTTCGGACTTGGGAAGAATGCGTGAGAGCCCTGGAGGCGGAGAAATTTGCAGATGCCGTCGT